GGGCAATGGGTCTTCACTGACGCCGACCCCCGCTTCGGGGTCGGCGGATACATAGGGGTTGCACATACGGCATATGCTGCCTCTCTCCGCGTACCATTGGTCTTTAGCATGGATGTCTCGTTGGCCAAGAGTGCTGCCGCAGAGCTGGCAGAATACCTGCAAGCCACTCGGCCACTCTTCGCTCTGCAAGCAGTTTCCTTGCTTGTCTGTGTTTAGCATCCATGGAATATAGAGATTGATCCAATCAAGCCGATGGTCAACATGTTAGCTGGCTGTTTGCTGCCTGCTTCAGAAGGAGCTCCTTCGCAGCTGAGGCAGCATACATTCAAGATACACCGCTAGAGACCGAAGCAATCAACAGATGGCTCTCGCAAATTCCGTGGCTAGGTCGCAGCTGGCATGACATGACTGCTGCTTGTCCACGTCTAACTGTCCCTTTCGGGCCATATGGCACTCAGGAGTAGTGTTCTTGCTATGTGCAAGTAATGCATTTAACTCGATTTGTCCCGTGAGAATGTAGCTGAGATAGTCACAGTATCTTCACTAGGAAGCAACGTTTCTTATGCCACAAGAATCCCAGGCATCGTATGAAACCGCCGCAATACCCTTACTAAGCTAAGCTGTCTTAATGGTGTTTCTTGCCTGTGAGCAATTTGTAACTGCATGAAGCTATGCAGAGTGATAGCAAGAGCCATCACAACATGACAGACGTGACACGTGGTTGAACACAGGCTTGGCAGCTTTGACTGGTCGTGCGGCGTTGATGATGACATGCCTCCGCTACACTGTGCCTGCATGAATGAAGCCACGGAACCCGCTGAGCTGCTTGGGCTGGTCAATGCACTTTCCGGTGGTCATGGTAGTCAGCCTGATGTACTCTTACGCGGAAGGAGCTTCAGGATACTCAAACAAGACAAGCTCCCAACCCTCAGGCTTTTCTCTGCTGTGACGAAGCTGCTTGAACATGGCGCGGATCCGCAGGCCTGATTTGCTACTGCCAGAAATGATTGTGTGGAAAGTTTTCTTAGATACGGTAGAGTCCCAGAGCAAAAGTCGGAACTGTTGTCATGAAAGCTCATCGTGACAGAGTTTCGATCATTGTTGTGGGGGTGGCAAGCCTTGTGGTCTGGCGATGCTAGATTATGGCCCAATCGGTTGGGGTTGAGGGCCAGACCCCATCAGAGAAGGAAGTGGTTTGAGCCTTTTGCGTGTTTTTTGGGAAGCCCTGCGCCTTCTGGTGCCCATGGTTTCTTTGAGCCTGTCGAGCAGTGTCTGGTGCCATAGGTTGCAGCATGTGAGTGACAGTTGTTGCTGTTTCGCAAACCTTCTGGATGGAAAAGCTGCGTTCATTGCATTGGCATTGCCGCCGCAACAGAGAAAACATCTGCCGTGACAAGCATCAGACAGGTGAAGGACACAGATGGGGACACAGCGCTACAGGCTGTTCTCAGCTTGGCTACGCAAGATGAGGAGCCTGATCAAGAAGCATTGCAGGACTGGGCCTGCCTGAGCATCACACGATGAGTCCTAAACGTTGCCATGAACCCTGAGGCACACTTTGCCGTCGTGCGCGCGCTCATCAATTGTCCAAAGCAGGACAGTTGAGCTAGTCAATGTGACCTGGACCGGGTTCCTGCGTTAAGCTTTGCATCGTCTGGTTTTCAGCGGCCGCAAATCAATTGCTGAGTGTGCGCCAGTGTGTGCGGCATGTTGGCTTGCGAGACAACGCATGTTTTGAGGAGCTTGGAAATTCTGAGCTACAAGCCCTTTGCAGTTGGCTTCGAAATCATGTTCCACAGGGTGGGCAGAACCAGGCTGGGGCCCAGGTTGATATTATATATATATATGTATATGTAATATGTATATGTATATGCTTTTTTTGACTTGTCAACCTGCCACTGTGAAAGCAGTTGATTTGCAGACATCCAGAGTGTCCTGCAACATGTACCGTGATAATCTGATAGTCTAGTTGAAATTGCGAACAACATGTTGACCAGCCCGAGCTTCGATCATATCACTCCAGTTAAAACATACTACGCCTTCCTACTATCGTAAATTCTCCATGACCATGTATTGGCAGCCCGCTTGGCACCCTCTCTCGACAATTGAGGGGCAGTAACCTTCTTTCGGCGCATTTGCCTGAACTGACTCTCTGTCGCAGCGTCGTAGCATTAGGTCTTTCGCAGCTTTCATGTTGCTTGCGTAGTTTTGTGCTGTCCGTCATGCTGGTGATAGTGATACTGATGGTGATGATAGTTCTTGGATGCACATGCTCACAGCTTCAGTAGTGATTGTGTGGGTGGTGACAGGTTGGCCCTTGCGGGCTCGTGATGCTCCTGGACCAACCTTCCAATGTCTGGCTTAAACAAATCGACCCTTCAGGGAATGTCCGAAACGGGGAGAAGCGGGATGCACATGTGGGTCCTATCCGCCAGAGCCACGACAAATCAATTACCCAGCTATCAGGCCACCGCCAGCTTATTTCCCATCATGACTGTTGAGGTAAATCATAGAGTGCCCTATGGTCTGTATGCAAAGGACACCATGAATTGAGCGGAAGTGCAGCCACAATGATTTTTCAAAAAGGACACCTCTGATGATTTTCCAGGTCCTTGCCGAGCTCGAGAGGCGAGTCGGCCGAGAGGCTACTGCCGGCGCATGGGCGTCAGAGATGTTCCTGAAGTACTTGGAACAGAGCGCCTACGAGGCAGGCATTTTCTGAAGCTGCGGAATGAATCGGAGGTAGGTGGGAAACTGTTGGGGGTCTGGTGCGCAGTTGGAAATATGCAAAGAATGCAAAAGCAGGCGAAACGAGGTTTGCAAGCCTCGGTTGTGCAGCAGTACCTGGCGGCTGGTGCCACTCCTTCCATCTCGCAAAATGGGGCATCTGCTCTGTTGCTGACTCTTGTCGCAAGTCCTCTGTAGGAGAAGCTTGCGCAGCCAACATAGGCCCTGATGTGAGGATGGTTCTGAATCCGTACTCCAGCTACGAGGAGATGATCACCATATGCCGAATGGTACTCGAGAAGGATCCACGAGTTGTCTGCCAACGTGACGGCTTCAAGCTCACACCCCTGGAGCCTCATCTGCTTTGGCTGCTCATGTGCACATTGCAGAAGCCATTCACACGTCAGCAGCCAGATGCGATAGTTGGGCAGTCAAGGTGGCAAGTTGGAAGTAAAACTGTTCTGCACTCCGGTGAGACTGTTGCTCGGTAGTGCTCAGGACTGGGCCTCGGATTATGAGAACATCGCTGTCCAACATGGCGTAAAGCCAAACCCAGCGTCGCTTTTGGCCCTTCTGCCTGCGCTCATTGAGCTGGCGCCAGACATGGCCTCTTGAGACTGCGAGAATCTTTTGGAATCTTTTCCAGTGCTGATTCTGAAAGCTACTCTGAAAGCTACTGCGTTGCGATGCGTTGCGACATGTCACTCCGAGGCTGATGACTCAGGCGCTCGATGCCTCAAGGTGAGCGCCACTGGCATCACAGGAGAGGGGAGCGAAGCTGTTTGTCAAAGCCTTTGTCAATCCTGTTTGGAACCTAAGTCTTCAGCAGAATCTTGTTCAGAAACACTTTTCAGAGAAGGAGAAGCCAGGCCAGAGGTCCCTCTGCGCTTCCTTGAGGGCGACCGCGTTAGGTGTCGAGTGGAGGCAGCAACGGCTGCTGTGGCTGCTGTCATGGACGCTGATGAGCAACGCATCCCAAGCATGTACAGCCTCAAAGCCTCAGCCAGGCGCCAGGAGGTAAGACAGCCTGGGAAGAGGGAGTGATTGTCGCTCTCTGGTATCGAGACGCTCAACTGCATGAGCAAGTAAAACTGTCTTGTATGCTCAGCACCCTTTACCAGCTGGCGATTTTGAACACGGATGTGGACGGGAAACGCGCATGACATCAGGAACCTTGTTGGCCGCGGAGTTTTCCCGGGGCCCCGTATCAAGTCAAGCTCGACATTGGACAGCTCGTTTACGCCCTGTCTGACCACGATGTAATGGTCCAGAGAGAGGCTGGCAAAAGCAGAGAGACGACAGATTTGCACGATGTGGGAAAATTGCATGGCTTGCAAATCCTGAGGCAAAAGCAGAAAAAGCTTCCAGCGCGGGAGCTCCGAAGGCCACCAGAGGCCGGTTCTGCAAACAGCAAAAAGAGGACGGTAGCTGCTCGGCTTGGCTTGGCTTTGGACGTGCTCTTGAAAGCTGTTCTGTCCTAGACGTAATTACACACCCAACTACTTTTTCTGTGTACCTGCTGGGGGAAGGTCGATGGGTCGCTTCGTTTGCCAGAAAATGCCTGCGTTGATCGTAGCGAGGTTGGGAGCTCCTGGACACCAAGTCTGGAAAAGCACGGGCTTGCTCACCGCCGGACTCTGACGAGGACTGCGCGTTGGAATTTACGCGGAGCCCTCCCTTTGCGCACAGATGTGGTTCAGATGAGGTGCATCTAGCCAAAAACAACCTTGCTGAACTTTCATTTCAGGGCTTGCGTGGAAGTTCTTGCGCCTGCGCTGTTGAACGATCTGTCCGTCATGCTCTCTTTATACCTTGTCTGGCTTGCCGCATTTCAGGACTGAGAGGTTCTTAAGCATCCGCCTTCGTAAGATGCTGCCCGCCACTTTCGCTGCCGCCTGCTGCAGCCATAGTTTTCTAGCTTTCAACATCACTGCGTGTTTAAGACGATCCGGTCATGTGTCAGCCAATTGCTATCTGATGTGAGATGTGTGACCTTCAGGCAGCTCATTGTGTTGGAGTTAGGTGATGCTTGTTGCGGAAGGCAGGTGACTTGTTCGTGTGCTGACACCTGACGGAATTTCCAGGGCTGTGATGCTGTAATTCTGCTGCAGCCTGTAAAGTGGCAGTTGGAAGCGAAATTGCCGCAGCTGCCCACAGCTGGTCTCGCTGGGTCAATCCTGAGGACATTCCTCAGGTTCAAAGACTATTGAAGTGAACTGCCAAAAAGCATGTACTGCTGGTGGAAAGATATCATTGGATTCTTGTGATTCTCTTGCCATGCATCTGGAGCAATCTTTGCCAGCACTGCCAGCATTGATGCTAGCTGATCTGGATTGAACGTCAAGTTGTGATCACATAGGGGAAATTTAGCACCGCGCGCGTCTCAAAGCGGGGCAGTCCAATTCCTCATCATTAGCCCCAATTAAGTGGAAGCCCTATGAAAACCCCTACACTTACATTGTGTGGCCTCGCCGCCTTTAGGTGAAAGCCCTAAAGTAACGTTGCGCGGTCACACCGCCTGAAACACCCTAAACTGACATTTTCACCATACATCATCAGAGCAATGCTCAGGCTCGAGCTTCCTTTGAGCGCCTGCTTGAGGCTTGGAGCTGAGCTATGAAGTGGCATATGCAGAGATCACATGCTTCTATATGCAGGCCGCTGATCGCCAACATCTCGCTCGGCTGTGCGACTTGGTGTGAGAAAATCCATGCTAATTTACAGCTGTGAAGTGCTACTTCCCTCAATATCGAAGTCCTGGCAGAAGCGACCTTTAGAGGAGCCCTTTGACATGATGCTCAGGAGGGTGAGCCTGACAGGTTTGTCATGGATGCCACGTGCTCAGAGATGTTCAAGTCCAGAGTATTTTTTGCTTGATGTGCGTCACTCGACTTTGCTGCTACATGCGGCACATGAGGCGTGCCTTAATACTCCTTCACTGACTGCTATGCTATAAACCCTGGGTTTGGCTTTGCCTCTGTTGGTACGTTGCATTTGCCGTGTCAAGGAGCAGCAGAAGCTCATGCTGCAGCTGCTGCACGAGGAGCTCCATAGCTCGCACTCCAACTCTTGCCGGCAAAAGCTTGCTTGCATGTCAGGCTCTGGCAAGAGGCGAGGAGTCCAGCCACCTGGCTCCGACAGCACAGTAGATCCGGAATGCAGCTGCGCGTTTGCAGAGTTCGCTTGTACAAGTTGCCTGCCAGTGAGCCTCGTTTAGCGAGTTGGCCGTCTCATGCCAGCAGGGCGCTTTGAGGATAGGATTGTCTATCGGAAATCCTTGCCTGAGTCAACAGCTCGACCTGCCTTCGAGACTGTGAAAGACTGTCGGTATCCACTTCCCCAGATGTGAGCCGGCATTTTAAACCGGCGCCTGAATCCAAAGTTGTGCACGTCAACCCTAGACATCTCATCTGCAAGGCCCAAGCCGTGAATCAAATCCCGAAACCATTTCCAGCTTGTCCTGTCGGCTAAGATTAAAGGCATGAGATGGCATGAGTAAAAGCATGGAAATGATGCAAAAGCTATCTTGCAGCGCTCTGCGAGGCTTGAATTTCTTATGTGTGACCAGTGGATGAACACTGCCTGAATCACTGAAGCTACTATTTAGTAACTCGAAATCACCAAGGTTGGCTACCATACATCCGTGTCTTCGATGAATTCATGTTTATCTTAGGCTCAAGACACATGACTGGTATGCCTGCAGCGGCAGGGACGCTTCCACAAGACTTTCCAAGCCTACCGCTCTGGTACACAGAAGAGGCTGCAAGTTGCCTTGTGTTTGAATTGTGGAGAGGCGATGACCTACAATGCAGGAGAAGCAATTCTTGAGGGGCACGTCAGTGGACACACTTCTTCAAGGAGCGCACATTGCCAGCGACAAGGACGAATCAAGATGCTTGAGTTTTGCCGACCTTCCCGACAGAACAGCCATGTTCACCCAGGACTTGCGGGCCATGCGATCCTGCTGCGAGCAGCTGGATATCTTTCCCGACTTGCCCTCCCTGGAGCAGCCGTTGTCTAAGCTTTGCCTCGAGTTGCGCTTTGCGTGTGCTTGATCACCTTGGTCTTCTTTCACCAAGACTACGCTGGGCTGCTTCTGTAGTGGCATCGCGAGCGTTTGACTCGTCAGTTGCTGGAGTCATCCTTGCACCCCTGGCCGACGAAACTTGGCTGAGAGTCCACCATGTTCCACAACGAAAGATGCAACTTTTTCAAGCACGCAAGCTTTTTGAGCTTCTATGGGCCTGCAATTTGTGCTTTGCTTGCTACATGTAGCAGCTGCTAGCAAGTGGTCCCAAGCTGAGGCCTTAAACCACTCCAGTGCTGCACCACATACGCGCATGCGAGATTGAGGCTTGGCATCATTTCAGATGTTTATTTTCTTCTTCCCATCCGTCCTAGATCGCAATTCTTGCACGGAAGCGTTGCACTTAACCCATTCTAGGCATCCACTGGACAATTCCAGCAAGTTGAACAACTTACCGCTGAGCGTTGCATGCTCCACAGTGGTCCTGAGAGAGGTGGCGAGCAGCTACAATTTCATGCAGAGCGCGATATCCACACTGGTGAGGAGATCATGAACTGCTACGGCATGCAGGACTGACAACGGCTTGATCAGTGTTTCGCGCGCAAGCAGCTGCTGTGTCAGGGCAACACACAATGGCTTCTGAATGGGGGGTTCCTGGACATCTCACGACCCTGTGATGACCTCTTGGTTACGCCCGCTGATGTAGTGGCTTGGCATCACTGATTTGGGGGATACACCGTGCTCCACCAAATCATGATCAGACTCGTACTATCTACCAGCAGGGAAGCCCTTGTCTCATAATTAGGGTTCGCAGGCTACACGTGACCTGTCAATGGGTTACACCCGGTCATACCCGGTCATGAGCGACATTGTCGCATTGTTTGCTTGCAAAATAGTGCCAGGTGAGTGCAGCACTAGAGCATCTGCGTCTGTGCAAGGCAACTCTGCAACGCAACTTTCAACGTGTGTGCCCAGAGGGTGTTTCACCATGCTTCTGTTTGTGGCTGGGATCTCTGTGATTCTGGCTCCTGAAAGGATGATGATCAGGATGATCAAGATGATGAGGCGGGGGTCTCCTTGCAGAACCTTTTTCATTGCCAGATCGAAGCGACAGCCGTCGGAAAGTCCAAGGCATCAACCAAGAGATTCAGATGTGTTTCACAGGTTCTGCTTGCCCTCCACGCAATAAGTTTTCAAGCAAAAGAGAGATCCTCACAACTTAGTAGCAAACACATGCCAAACTCGTTTCACATCTCGAGTTCGGATGTCTTGGGAAACTACTTGTTTCATGGTTATCTGTGCGTAACGGAATTTCTCAGCTGGCCTGCAGCCTGACAAGCTTTTCGCTAATCGATTGCAAATTTTCCCGTTTTTGGCGCTTGTTTGGAGATATATGATCTTAGCAGCCAGCTTCGCTGGCACAAAACATTGACAGCCTGATCTGTGATCGTCAGTGGCTTCGAGGCTTTCTTGTGCCCACGGCTGTCTTTGTTGCAGGACAGGTGAGGATGATCCTAGTGGCTATGCATGGCTATGCTAGATTGAGGGGTCCAGACACCTTTGAGGACCTGGGCATTGGCAGCGGTTCCTTTTGCCTTTCGCCTTCGGACATCCTCCCTGACGACCTGGCCACGATGCTATTGGCGCGGTCCTTTCATTCTGTAGAGTCCCGAAAGCAGAACATGAAGAGAAAATCTGAAGCCAGCTTGCGAAAGTTGCACACACACCCAGATGAATCAACTGCGCTGACTGCAGGTCATTTGCATGACCGAGGCCGAGTTCACAAAGTACCGGGAGGAGCGAACAGGACCGCATGGCTTTCCGCACGTTTCCTAACATTGCATCACCCACGCATACCATGCAGTGCAAAGCACACTATCCTTCAGAAATCCCGAAAGCAAAAAAGACATTAACATACCTTAACCTTTTTTCGGATTCCGACACTTTCTTGTTACGAAAGCTTCCCAAGATTTCGCCTGAGTCCAGCTTTGCTGATCTGTACTAAGGGGGTGTGGGGGTTAGGAATGGTTAGGAAAGCCTAAAAGTGGTCAAATTTAGCCATGTTTCGCGGGCCAGACCCCACGGCAGGAGGGTTTTCGGGAGGTGTCCTCGTGGGCCTCGAAAACAGGGGTGAAGAGGGGTCTGTCTCGATGCAGTTTCGGGGTGCCCTTTCGGGTGCCGTGGAGGCCGTTTGGAACGCCGAATGGCAGGTTTTTGGGCACGTTGGAAGCCGTTCTTGGGCAGGCGGAGGCCGTTCGCGCTCCGCCGCTTCATGAAAAGATGCACGTGCTGGTATGCACCCTGCTTGAAAGCTTTCGTCCCCTCCACGCGGGCGCAAGTGAATCTTTGAAGATGTTCGACGCGTTCTCAGAGCTCGCTGACGGACGCGTCTTTCAAGCGCAGAGTATCGCGAACAGGATGAGAGAATGCTATTCCTTCAACCCCATTCTTGACCAAGTGGAATCGACTTGCACGGGTGTCGGCACAGCAACCCCTTTGAGGCGGCTTCAAGCCAGCAATTGACCTTGGTGGCGCTGAAGGCTTGGGCGTCTAAAGCAGTTGCTCCGCAAGAGGTGGGGCATAGTCAGGTGAGGACCTGTCGGAGAGGCTGCTTGCAAAGCTCTATAGCTGCCTGCTACGTGGCTCAGCTTCAAAAAGGTGTGTAGGTTTCCGAAAATTAGTGGTCCTTTTTGGGAGGTCTCCATAATAAGTATCATATGCACAGTCGCTTCCGTTTGAGGCCTGGTGCATCTGCTGGAGAAACGGTATGACACCTCCTTGGCGGAGGAAGGGCTTTGAAGCTGACTTCGCTTT